AAAAAAAAAAAAAAAAAAAAAAAAAAATCTAACTCCAGACAAGGCCACTGTTGGAATTTCCAGCTTGCTGGACTGCCTTGCAAATCTTGGACTTGCCAGCTCCCACAACTGCATAGGCCATTTTTTTAAAAAATAGATCAACTGATCAAACAGTCACTCTCTCTGTATGACTGTGTCTGTCTGTGTGTGTGTGTGTGTGTTTGGATCCAGAATCTAGGCTTATTTCTGCAAATCCAGGCAGAGTTGTGACAGGTGGGGGAAAGAAGGAGTGAAAGACTGACACATTTCCCTCATGAATGATAATCCAGTTATGTCCACAAGTATGTTATGTTAATTACATAATTTAACAACATAGCTACACAAATCTAAATTAATCACAACGACTCAAGGAAAATATATAAGGAAAAGCTGAGGTATACAAGGCTTCCACAGTAATATGAAGAAAATGCACTGTGGGTTGAACACATATACCATAAAATTATATTACTAAATAAGACATCACAGAAACATAGAAATACAGTAACTGAATAAGCATGAAATACTGATGTTATGATTCCAATTAGTCTGCTGATTCTATCAAGTAAGTAGTATAAACTCAATGCATATGATAGGAAATAAATCAAGTTGATACGTACTTGTGACAAAAAATTTTTTTGTGAAAGTACAGCTATCAAAGGCAGCAATTTTCTCCTGCAATACTACGACAAGGATCCTAAAATTAGAGGGAAAAAACCACAAAAGAAAATGTTAATGTGAAATTCTATAAACTGAACTATAAATAAGTTAAATCATCTAGATTTAAGTAAGTATGTACCAAAGGAATTTTTAAAAATCAAACGCTTCTTAAAGCATATAGGCTAGAAACATCTGCTTCTTAAATGTCAAAATACAGTCACAAAATCCTTAATATGATCTAGACAAGATTAAAGGAAGAAAAGTCACAGGAGAACTACACCTCAAAATAAAATTTCATTTTCATTCATTATAAATCAAATGAATCTATCTTCATTAAGAATGTATGAGATCAATAAACTGCTGGCTATTTACTAAAAGTGTTTTTCCAGTGCTGGCTCAAAGTCATGGAATTAAACATAAAATGGATTTATACAACCTGGCACTTAAAATGATTGCTGAATTTCCCAACACAGTAGCCAAAATGAGAGAGAGGGAGGGAGGGAGAAAAGGAGGAAGGGAGGGAGGGAGGGAGGGAGGGAAAAAGGAAGCTCAGATAACTATTATTCAATGTAAATGAGATATTTCTGATTATTGAAATATTAAAATTAATCAAAATCTGTATTTCTCCCAAAGTTCAAGATTTATAAATAATTAGGGAAAAGTTATAAATTTTCAAAATTAAAATGTATCTGAAATGAAGTTATTTTATAAACTACATTTTAGAGTATTGCTCCTGATAACTGTTGTTAAATATTTAACTACTAGATCCACCCATTTAAAAATGTTGATTTTTAAAATTTATTTTATTTACTTATTTATTTATTTTTGGCTGCATTGGGTCTTCGTTGCTACACATGGCTTTCTCTAGTTGCGGCGAGCCGGGGCTACTCTTCATTGCGGTGCTCGGGCTTCTCATTGCGGTGGCTTCTATTCTTGCAGAGCAAGGGCTCTAGGCACACAGGCTTAAGTAGTTGTGGCACGTGGGCTCAACAGTTGTGGCTCATGGGCTCTAGAGCGCAGGCTCAGTAGTTGCGGCGCACGGGCTTAGTTGCTCCGCGGCATGTGGATCTTCCTGGACCAGGGCTCAAACCCATGTCTGCTGCACCAGCAGGAGGATTCTTAACCACTGTGCCACCAGGGAAGCCCAAAAATGTTAACTTTTAATAATTTAATATATCACTGGATAATTACATTATCCCAGAAATAACATGAGTATACCTCCTATGTCATATATAATTTTGTTTGATGTTATTTGAAGTTTAAATATACATAATAACTAGATCTTCATTATGAATTACACACTATCACTGAACAACTTTTCTTTGTCCTATTTCATATTTTCGTACTGAATTCAAATATTTTTATCATTAATATCAAAGTCTTGATCTTTTAGTTTGTATTTGTCAGGTATGTGTTTACCCTTCCTTTTACATTCAAACTTTCTGAGTCACTTTTTGAAATATCTCTTTAAAATCTAACCTGAGAGTCTTTTATTATGAAATTTATTTTTTGTCTTCCATGTTCCACGTGTTTGCTCTTTAATGAGATTAATAATTTGCAGCCATGACCTTGATAAGACATTTAGCATCATGGGGCTAGGAAAAATCTATCTGGTCCCTCTTTTAGCTCCATTGTGAAGTGCAAAACAATAAGAATATTTAAAAGTCTTTTTTACATTTCAGAAATAAGTTTTGTTTTGATGAATGCTAACAGGAAAATTACATTTCCCATCATAAACCAGTAAACATATAGAAGTACATATATTAAACAAAAAGTTATATATAAAATGTTATGTTATACATATAAAAGGTTCCTCAAAGCAATATTTAACCTTCATATGTTTACTCAGGCACTTTTATTCTTTTCCATTTCATTATTTCACTAATGAGTCAAGACAAAAAGTTTGAAAACATTAAGAAATCTTAAGAGCTACTTATATTTGGCAGAATTCTGAAGACATATTTGTGACTTTTTTATTATTATTATATCAAAGTCAATGATAATGGAAAGGCACTACGTGCACAGGAGGTATGTTATCTTGCACAAGAAACACATGAAAAATTGCTTACCTTTTGTTGCAATGGAGATCATAGATAGGTGTTTTAAACTGAATGGACTTGACCATCTCCCCAGTACGAAGTGAATATAAATCCACACAACAGTAAGGTGGACTTGTGCTAAAAAATAAATAAATAAATACATACATACATACATACATATATACATAAATAAATAAAGACAAAAGCCATTATGTTTTAACAGGTGGGAGGGCCAATAAATTTTCTTACTAACATAATACAAGCAAATTGATTTGGGCTTTAATCAACAAAATTAGCAATTGCATAATGATGGAATAGTGAAAGCTTTCACTCTAAAATCAGGGATTAGAGAAGAACACTTGAAGAATATGGCCACTCTACTCAACACAGTATAGAAGGTATGTGCATAAGAAATTACTACAAGAAAGAAATAAAGCTGCAGTTATTTGTGAGAATTTGATTGTATAAGTATAAAACCTAGTAACACAAATTACAAAATATACACAGACAAACCCATAATAAAAGACAAACCATTAATATAAGGGTTAATATGTAGATTGATACAGTTCAACCCTAATCAAGAATCTATCAGAAACGAGACCTCTTTCTAAAATGTACATAAATACGCATTCTAAATGATAAGATTTAAATTATAAAGACATGTGTTCCTTCATACTAGAACAGATGAAGAGATCAATGTTTTCACCTTAAGAAAGTAGGAAAAGAGCAAGTTAAATCAAATGAAAGTGGAATGAAGGAATGAATACAACAAATCAATGAAACAAAACTTGAGTAAGCAAAAGAAAAAAATAAACAAAAGTAAACCCAATTCCTTGAAATAGATAATTTGAATACTGCAGTATCTATAAAAGAAACCAAACTCATAATTTAAAACTTCTTACAAAGAAATCCTTAAAAATGGCTTCATTTGTAAATTCTACTAATCATTTAAACAAAAAAGTTTAGATATTCTACACAAACTCTTTTATAAGATAGGAGTCACCAACTTATTTTATGAGGCCAGTAACACATGATCTCAAAAATAAATACTTCACAAGAAACTACCGATATATTTATATGTCTCATGAATATACATAAAAGATCCTCAACAAAAACATTAACAAGTTGGGACTGCCCTGGTGGCTCAGTGGTTAAGAATCCATCTGCCGATGCAAGGGACACGGGTTTGAGCCCTGAACCAGGAAGATCCCACATGCCACAGAGCAACTAAGCCCGTGCACCACAGCTACTGAGCCTGCACTCTAGAGCCTGCGAGCCACAACTACTGAAGCCTGCGCACCTAGAGCCTGTGCTCCGCCACAAGAGAAGCCACCACAATGAGAAGCCCGTGCACCACAAAGAAGAATATAGCCCCCGCTCGCCGCAACTAGAGAAAGCCCGCGCGCAGCAATGAAGACCCAACGCAGCCAAAAAAAAAAAAATAGGAAGCAGATCAGTGGTTGCCAGGGACCAGAAAAGGAGGGAAGCTACAGAGTACAAAGTGGCATGATGGGTGCCACTTTTAGGGCGATAGAAATGTTGCTGTGTCTTGATTGTGCTAGGGACTTACACAAGTGCATATAATTGGTGAAAGTGGAGATGGGAGAGAATCCAGTAAAACTTGAACTTCAACCTCTAACATTGACACAAGGCAAAAATTCTTTTCTTAATGTTCCCCCAACTAATTAATCCAGTCCTCTGCTGAGAAGCAATGAGTTAATAATGAACGAAATCTAACATTTTGCCAGACCAACTGGGAAGGAAAAAACAGCTTGTCACCTTCAATTAGCAGCTCATTATAGCCACGGTACACTAGAAACTTGAATTCTGATCATTTCACTGGCATCCATACAATGTCACAACTGAGATTCTTCCTGCAGAGAGCCTTCAATAGAAGTAGACAAAACAAATGCTATGAAGGCTCAGTTTAGAGTTGAATGAACAAGATTTGGTAGATCTAAAAATTCTATTTATATATGGAAAAAACCTCTTATTCAATGCCTAATAGAAAAAGATAATTCTTTTAAGATCAGAATTTTCAGAAAGTCACACATTCATAAAGGAGTCATGCTATCTGCCAATAACACAGTTGTGTACACGCCTGATATATCCTTTTGTTCTCTATTTTGTCTCTTTTTAAAAGCCTTGAATATTTCCCTGGGACACAGCAAGACAATCTTAATTTTCCTCATGGGCAGGCTGATGAGAAAGCTTTCTATAACATCAGCAGAATGCATGCCCCATAACAGAAAGGACGTGTGTTATTCTAAAATATACAGACAAGAAACAAGCTTTTACTTTGTACTCTAGTATACACCAAGCAGTGTCAAAAGCTGTATACAGAAGTCTTCATTAGATTTCTAGAGCTCAAATGGGTTAACATTTTTACAGGTTTGCGCCTGACATTTAAACCTAAAATTGTGACTTCACTTTAAGATAAAACCTAATTAATACTTTAAGGAAAAAAAGTTCACATAGAAATGTAGAGAATCTAATTTAGAATGTAACTGAATCTATTGCAAGCAAAACCAGAGTTGGAAAGAAAAGCAGAAATGACGTAATTTGTATTATTAAATCGTTGGTTAAAGGACTCTAAACTGTGCCCAGGCACCACTGCTTTTGCAACACATAATTATCAACAGGGGTAATGTAAAGTTATTTAGTACTTTTAATGATAAATATATAATAGAAATGAATGCAAATTGTCCTTAACTGACCTTCTCTTTACCTACGTAACTTGTTTTATAGTGAGGAACCAGGACATATATTGAAAATTTTTGCATTGCAGCAATCTGTTACCTGCTGTATACATAACCTATACACATAAAGCAAGTTATAAAGCTTTTATTAGCAAAGGACTAGTTCTCCCAGAGCCAAAGGTATGGAATTTACAGTTCATTTCAGTGAAGAGAGTTGACTACAATTATTTAAAGAGTAAATTTTTTTAAAACTTCCATTACTGAAAATGAAAAGGTTAAATTAAATATAAAACAAAATAGTTAAACTGGATTTCCTAAAAGCAAATCCTGAAACTGTAGTATAGAAGATAAACCCAAGAAGATGAAAACTAAATGTTTTCATCTAAATACGTTGCCTATTTCATTATTTCTTACTTTCTCTGTAATCCTTCCCATCATATTTTTTATTTATTTTTTTTTTTTTTATGGTACGCGGGCCTCTCACTGTTGTGGCCTCTCCCGTTGCGGAGCACAGGCTCTGGACGCGCAGGCTCAGCGGCCATGGCTCACGGGCCTAGCCGCTCCGCGGCATGTGGGATCTTCCCCGACCAGGCGCGAACCCGTGTCCCCTGCATCGGCAGGCGGATTCTCAACCACTGCGCCACCAGGGAAGCCCCCCATCATATTTTTTAAAAAGTTTTAATATGCTTTATTTGTTAGAGCAGTTTTTGGTTCACAACAAAATTGAGAGGAAGGTACAAAGATTTTCCATAAAGCCTCTGCCCCCATTCATGCATAGTCTACCCCATTATCAACATCCCCTACCAAAGTGGAACATTTGCTACAACCTATAATGACACAATATAATCACCCAAACTCCATAGTTTTCATTATGGTTCACTCTTGGTGTTGTACACTGTATGGGTTTTGGACAAATTTATAACGACATATATCCAACATTACAGTAGCATACAGAATAGTCTCACTGCCCTAAAAATCCTTTGTTCTCTGCCTGTGCATCCCTCCTGGCGAACTCTGATCTTCTTACTGTCTTACTGTATTGCCTTTTCCAGAATGTTGTTTGGTTGGAATCATACAGTATGTATCCTTTTCAGATTGGCTTCTTTCACTTAGTAATACACTTTTTTTTTTTTTGCGTTACGCGGGCCTCTCACTGTTGTGGCCCCTCCAGTTGCGGAGCACAGGCTCTGGATGCGCAGGCTCAGCGGCCATGGCTCACGGGCCCAGCCACTCCGTGGCATGCGGGATCCTCCCGGACCGGGGCATGAACCTGTGTCCCCTGCACCGGCAGGTGGACTCCCAACCACTGCGCCATCAGGGAAGCCCAGTAATACACTTTTAAAGTTTCCCTCCTTTCTTTTCATGGCTTGACAGCTTTTAGTCCGGAATAGTATTCCATTATCTGGATGTACCACATTTTATTTATCCATTCACCTACTGAAGGACATCTTGGTTACTTCCAAATTCTGGCAATTATGGATAAAGCTGATATAAACACCTGTGTGCAGTTTTTTGGGCAGACATAACTCCTTTGGGTAAATACTATGCAGGACAATTGTTTGACTATGGTAAAAGTATGTTTAGTTTTGTACAAAACTGCCAAACTGTCTTCCAAAGTGGCTTTACCATTTTGCATTCCTACCAGAAATTAATGACAGTTCCTGTTGCTCCACTTTACCAGCATTTGATATATTCAGTGTACTGAATTTTGGCCAGGTGTGTAGTAGTATGTCCTTGTTGTTTCCCTGATGACATATGATATGGAGCACCTTTTCATATGTTTACTTGACATCTGTATATTGTCTTTGAGGTGAGGTCTTTTGCCCAATTTTTAATCAGGTTGTTCATTTTCTTATTTTTGATTTTTAAGAGCTTTGTGTATTTTGGATAACAGTCCTTTATCAGATATGTGTTTTGCAAGTGTTTTCTCCCATCCCGGTCTGTGTTTTTGAAGAGTGGGAGTATGTAATTTTAATGAAGTCCAAGTTTTATTCAGAAAATTGAATCTGTATAGGACAAACCTCAGAAAAATTTCCAGAATGAAGAAGAAATGAGATGAAATGAAAGATAGCAGATTAAAAGAACTGAATATAGAGATTCAATTTATAAAAATTCATAATCCTGAAGAAATTCTACCTCAAGACTGCAGTATCAGTCTCTACCTGACAGTTTCTAGCCTGCTAGCCTACTCTACTTCTTACCTGCCAGCCCAGTCACATAAGCCAATTCCTTGAAGTGAAAATCACATGTGTGTTTCTGTATATGCGTGTGTGTACACCGAATGATATGATATACCAGGGAATCTAGAATACAGCACACATGCCCAGAGCCAATGCCAGCTCAAAGAACTGGTGAAGACATTAGTCTTGCATCTCTGGCTGAGCTTCTGACTGCACAAGCCAGAGGTAAAGGCTACAGCAGAGCTGTAGATGGTATCAC